TTTACCATCCAAGAACCTGGAATGCCAAATTACAGCAACTTCGGTTGTAAAATGTGGTTAAAACCATCAAAACGCCTAAATTGAAGCGGAGCCTCTACTTTTGCATATATATCTTAAATTGTATGCAAAAATGCTTCTCAAATGGCAATTGCAAGATTTATCTTCATTCGAACACAGAGAATTTAATTGTAATCAACATTTTATATACTTTATGGGCTTTCCAGCGAATATTTCAAGGTATTCCAAACGGAAGGAGAAATTGAATAAATGTACACTCGGACCAAAGGTAGAGGATATAAATATTTTTGGTTCAACCTGAACCAAATGGCGCCCAACCCGATTTTATAAAATTCGAAAATTTGTAAACAATTTTATAACAATATTAACCATAAGAGGGCAAAAATGGCGCCCAACATATAAATTATTGCAAGATCATATATTTAATTAAAAATTGTCTGCTATGATATTTAACCCCTTATGGCCCAATGTTGCCCACAGGCAACAAAATGTTTTAGAGCTTATATTTATTATACAGCTAGTAGATATGCATTCTTTGGATTTCCTAAGAAAAATCCAAAAAAGTCAATTTTTTGGTAAAGTTATGAGCTTTTTAATATAGAAAAGAGGTCAAATTTGTGTACAATACTAATTTGTGTGTACAGTCCAAATTATTAAAATCGCTTCGCATTCGAAATATACGAATTCTGCCATCAGAATTATTTAGGATAGTTGCATTATATCTGTGAACAGAAAAAATTTTCTATGAGTGCGAACATAAATTCGGGGCTATTAGTCGTCGAAACTGGAGAGAATCACATACGATAACCCTGTTCGAAAACGATCGTGGTCAAAGAGCGGTGAAGCACCTCAGACGGTGGCCAAACCAAAACTAACGGTCAGGAAGGTTCTGCTATGCATTTGGTGGGACTGGAAGCGGATTATTTATTATGAGTGGCTTCCATATGACCAAATGCTAAATTCTGATCACTGATGTCAACGACTGGACCGTTTGAAGATAGCAATTGACCAGAAACGGCCAGAATTGGCCAATAGGAGAGGTATCGGACAACGCTAGGCCACACACATCTACAATGACTCGCCAGAAACTTCGGGAGCTTGGTTGGGAAGTTTTAATGCATCCGACTTACAGTTCGGACTTGGCACCAAGCGATTATCATATTTTCCATGCATTGCTAAATTTTTTTAGTGATAAAGGGAGGAGGACTGTGAAAATCGACTTATAGACTACGAGTTTTTTGCAAATAGAGAGCAGGACTTCTATGGGAGGGGCATTACGAAGTTGCCTTTAAAATGACAACAAAACGGTGTCCCAAACCGGACATTCCGAAGCATGTTAAATAAATTGCTATAGTTCATATAAAAACAAAAGATTTCTTTTTCCCCAACCTTATATATTATGGTGCCTACTAAGTAGGTTGTTTATGCTCCGAGAAAAGCATACCGAAAATTAATTAGTTTTTTACCCTCCATAAATGTGGCTAAAACATTCAAAACCCTTATATTAGCACCTTTATGCGGCTTATTCCTCAAATTCAGTTAAAAAATGTGCGAAATTACCGAATTCTGTGAAATACTGTTAAATAATTTTCAAAATTTAACCAATTTTATAACTGGCATATAATTTTGTATTTAGTTCTTAACATTAACTATAGGAACGCAAAGAAATGGCGCCCAACATATTAATTATTGCAAGATAATATTAAAATGGTGAAATGTTATATTCAAATATAAATTCTTTTACCATTTGTGGTACGAAAAATCAGGTTCTACAGATTTAAAAAATATGGCAGCCTATAGAATAGAATTCTTATATGTAAATAACCTCCCTCATATATTATTTGTTGTTTTGCAATTGGAAGGTTGAAAAATCAGGTTCTAGAAATTTCAAAAATATGGCGCCCAATACAGAATTTTTCTTAATATTTTGACAACAGAATTTCTACCAATATTAGATATAACCCACTATAGAGTACCCCAGGAATTTCAAAAATCTAACCGATATTGGAAAACCTATTCTAAGGCACTTCTCTTTCTATGCATTTCAAACAATCCAGAACAAAATCTTCAATTCAAAGCATTCAACATTGTGACACATAATCATGGTTGGATTGACGATGGTGTTGATTGCCAATGAAGATGACATTAGAAAATGAAAATCAAAACAAAACAAAACAAAAAAAGAATTCTAATGATTGAAGATTGTGGCGAAAGAAAACCCAACCACAAATCGAATGATTGAAATGCAATTCTCTAACGGCGTTGCATAGAATACGAATGTGAATATGGATTGTAAAATTGTTGAATGGTTGGCAATTGAGTGGCATCTATGATAATTACACGCAGACCAGAACAGCCAAAGATTGTCAAATGTGTAGAAGGATAGATGGAGAGGGGGAAAGGGGAAGGGGAGGAAACTCATTTGTAGCCCATCCATAAAAGAAAACCTAGTCATGGCCCTGACCACATATGCCTGTCTGGCTGGCTAGCTGCCTGCCTGCCAATCTGGCCACAATTGATTGGCCTCTTAAAACAGTAGCTTGCAACATGTAAGGCATGATTTAGTATTACCAGCAGTTGTGTCAAACTATTTGCAACAACAAACCATTTCACATGGCAAGTCATCAATTTGTATCGATTCAATGCTGCTGGTATGTTTATCGAAGGATGGTTGACGATGATAATGTTGGGAGATTTTTTGGAAAATCGAAGACGAAGCAGTAGAAGAAGAAGCATTGAAGTTAAGGAATAAAACAACGTACAGCCTTGACAACCAAATGACTACTTGTCTTACGTGCTAATTGTTTTAGTTATTGTCGTTGTTGTGCTTTACTTTAAATTGCCATTCCTTTCTCTTTAGCGTGTTTTTTCTTTTGGCTTTGCCTTTTTTGGTAAGCCATGGAAGATCTGCCTTTAACAGTTTTGTATCTTTGATCTGCTGTAGTACAAAACTCTTCACACTTTACAGATCATGTATGGCTTGATGACAAATCAATGCGGTAATGAATACTTCTGTGTGTGAGTGTGTGTGTGCAATGTACACAAACCTTAATTGAACCGAGTAATCGAAGACTCAATTAACCGGTTTGGTTTTCAATTTTGTGGGAATTCTTACAATTATTGTGGCACGCTAGCATTGTGGTTTCGTGGCAACAACAACAACAAAAAAAGAAAAACTTGATACGACTTAGTTCGACAATATCGCTCACTGGTATTAAGTTTTGGTTCTGGTACTTGGCATGTCTTCTAAATGGAACAAACTCTTACAAATGCATATGACCGCAAAATGGTTGAGGTCAACTATTTATTAGCAACGAGTCCGTCACTTGGGGAGTTCGTAACGAGAGGTGTGTTAGTTGTCATGTTCGATACGATATAAAGTATTGACTTCAAATTTGAACTCATGACTTGTCAGCTGTCTTAGTTAATTTGCATAAAAACATTAGACATGATCATGATCGAACAAGTACGAATCTATAAGCTTGATTTGCATACTACCTCAACCATGTGGTGGAGGGTATTTTAATGGTTTTAGTAGCATTTTCCAAACAAGGTGGTTGTAATTTGCCATTCTGGATTTTTGGAAACAATTTTCAATATAGGTCCATATTTTGACTTAGCCCCCATATTAATATTCCGTCCCATTTTTAGATTTTGGAGGTTTAAGTTAACTGAAGAAACTGCCACTTTGGATTCTAGGTTCTTAGAGAGTGTAAAACTTATTCGCAGAAAGGGTTCGATATTGGTCCATTCTTTAACATATTTCCCATATAATCACCCCCACCCCCTGGTGACAAATCTCCCTACCATAAATTATGGTTGATTTTAAAGGACTATAAGAGTCGTGATTTATTTAAAAGGCGTGGTTTTTTTGAAGGACTATAAGAGGCGTGGTTGATTTTAAAGGCTTGGTTTATTTTGAAGGACCCCCTGGTGACAAATCTCCCTACCACAAATTATGGTTGATTTTGAAGGACTATAAGAGGCGTGATTTATTTTAAAGGCGTGTTTTTTTGAAGGACTATAAGAGACGTTTTCCTGAAGGACTTTAAGAGGCGTGATTTATTTTAAAGGCGTGGTTTTTTTAAAGGACTATAAGAGGCGTGGTTGATTTTAAAGGCGTGTTTTTTTGAAGGACTATAAGAGGCGTGATTTATTTTAAAGGCGTGTTTTTTTTTTTGAAGGACTATAAGAGGCGTGGTTGATTTTAAAGGCGTGTTTTTTTGAAGGACTATAAGAGGCGTTTTTTTTTGAAGGACTATAAGAGGCGTGGTTGATTTTAAAGGCGTGTTTTTTGAAGGACTATAAGATGTGTGATTTATTTTAAAGGCGTGGTTTGTGAAGGACTATAAGAGGCGTGGTTGATTTTAAAGGCGTGTTTTTTTTTTGAAGGACTATAAGAGGTGTGGTTGATTTTAAAGGCGTGGCTTTTTTTTTGAAGGACTATAAGAGGCGTTGTTGATTTTAAAGGCGTGGCTTTTTTCAAGGACTATAAGAGGTGTGGTTGATTTTAAAGGCGTGGCTTTTTTTTGAAGGACTATAAGAGGCGTTGTTGATTTTAAAGGCGTGGCTTTTTTCAAGGACTATAAGAGGCGTGGTAGATTTGAAAGGCGTGTTTTTTTTTTTTTTTTTTTGAAGGACTATAAGGGGCGTGGTTTATATTGAAGGACTATAAGTAGCGTGGTTTATTTTGAAGGACTGTAAGAGACGTGGTTTATTTTGAAGGACTACAAGGGATGTGGTTTATTTTGAAGGACTACCACACCCCTTGTTTATTTTGCAGGACTACAAGAAGTGTGCTTAATTTTGAAGAACTATAAGAGGCGTGGTTTATTTTCAAGAACCATAAGAGACGTGATCTATTATCAATATTTGACTCTCTTTTAGGGTAGTCCACATATCAAAAATCAGATTCTTAAGACTGAATTTTTTTAAATATTTTCAATATGAATTCCACATAATAAAAATCATTTTCTTTTCAGATTCGAAGGCGTCGAAGTTATCTCACCCAATGAATTCGAAATTGTGTTGTATCTCAATCAAATGGGCGTCTTCAATTTTGTCGATGATGGCACTTTGCCCGGTTGTGCAGTTCTCAAGCTAAGTGATGGCCGGAAACGCTCCATGTCGTTGTGGGTTGAATTCATCACCGCCTCGGGATATCTATCATCTAGGAAAATTCGAGCTCGTTTCCAAACCCTTGTCGCACAGGCATGTGATAAAAGTATTTATCGAGATATGGTAAAAATGATTGGTGACACAACAGAGGTTAAGTTGCGTATACGTGAACGATTTATTGTTCAAATTACGCCGGCATTTAAATGTTCTGGTATTTGGCCACGGTCGGCAGCGCATTGGCCGCTGCCGCATATACCATGGCCGCATCCCAGTATTGTGGCTGAGGTGAAGACGGAGGGATTCGATTTACTCTCCAAGGAAAGTGTCATATTTCAAAATAAGAATAATAACGCAGCCAGTATGGAGGGTGATGCATGGGTGTTGAGCTTCTTCGAAGCGGAAAATCGTCTGTTACAAGGTAAGGACAAAATATGGGGGATTTTTAAAGGGTCTCTAAGAGGCGTGGTTTATTTTGAAGGACTATAGGAAGCGGATTTATTTTAAAATACTAAAAGGATGCATGGTTCATTTTGAAGGACTATAAGAGGTGGTGATATTAAGGGATTATAGAAGGCGTGGTTGATATTAAGGGACTATAGAAAGCGTGGTTGATATTAAGAGACAATAGAAGGCGTAGTTGATATTTAGAAGACGTGGTTGATATTAAGGGACTATAGAAGGCGTGGTTGATATTAAGCGACTATAGAAGGCGTGGTTGATATTAAGGGACTATAGAAGGCGTCGTTGATATTAAGGGACTATAGAAGGCGTCGTTGATATTAAGGGATTATAGAAGGCGTGGTTGATATTAAGGGACTATAGAAGGCGTGGTTGATATTAAGGGACTATAGAAGGCGTGGTTGATATTAAGGGACTATAGAAGGCGTGGTTGATATTAAGCGACTATAGAAGGCGTGTTTTATATTAAGCGACTATAGAAGGCGTGGTTGATATTAAGCGACTATAGAAGGCGTGGTTGATATTAAGCGACTATAGAAGGCGTGGTTGATATTAAGCGACTATAGAAGGCGTGGTTGATATTAAGCGACTATAGAAGGCGTGGTTGATATTAAGCGACTATAGAAGGCGTGGTTGATATTAAGCGACTATAGAAGGCGTGGTTGATATTAAGCGACTATAGAAGGCGTGGTTGATATTAAGCGACTATAGAAGGCGTGGTTGATATTAAGCGACTATAGAAGGCGTGGTTGATATTAAGCGACTATAGAAGGCGTGGTTGATATTAAGCGACTATAGAAGGCGTGGTTGATATTAAGCGACTATAGAAGGCGTGGGTGATATTAAGGCACTATAGAAGGCGTGGTTGATATTAAGGGACTATAGAAGGCGTGGTTGATATTATTGGACTATAGAAGTCGTTGTATATATTAATGGACTATAGAGGGCGTGGTTGATATTAATGGACTATAGAAGGCGTGGTTGATATTAAGGGACTATAGAAGGCGTGGTTGATGTTAAGGGACTATAGAAGGCGTGGTTGATGTTAAGGGACTATAGAAGGCGTGGTTGATATTAAGGGACTATAGAAGGCGTGGTTGATATTAAGGGACTATAGAAGGTGTGGGTGATATTAAGGGACTATAGAAGGCGTGGTTGATATTAAGGGACTATAGAAGGCGTGGTTGATATTAAGGCGTTGTATATTTTGAAGGACTTTAAAAGGCGTTGTTTATTTTGAAGGATATAAAAGGCGTATGTTTATTTTGAAGGACTATAAAAGGCGTTGTTGATTTTAAGGACTATAAAAGGCGTTGTATATTTGAAGGACTATAAAAGGCGTGTTTATTTTGATATTAAGGCGTTGTATATTTGAAGGACAAAAGGCGTGGTTGATATTAAGGCACTATATTTGAAGGACAAAAGGCGTGGTTGATATTAAGGACTAAGGCGTGGATTTTTTAAAGTTTAAAAGGAGGCTTGGTTTTTTTAAAGTTTAAAAGGAGGCGTGGATTTTTTAAAGTTTAAAAGGAGACGTGTATTTTTTAAAGGTCAAAAGGAGGCGAGGATTTTTTTTAATGACAAAAGGATTCGTTGATTTTTTAATGACAAAAGGATTCGTTGATTTTTTAATAGACAAAAGGAGGCGTTAATTTTTTAAAGTTTAAAAAGAGGCGGGTATTTTTGAAAGGTCAAAGGGAGGCAAGGATTTTTTTAATGAAAAACGGAGGGAAAAAGGGGGCGTAAATTATTAAAGGAATGTAAGAGGTTTCTACAATTTTTACAGTAGGCGTATATTATTAAAGGACTGTAAGAGGTCCCTATAGGCTTAATTTTTACAGTAGCCGTGGATTATTAAAGGAGTAAAAAGTCTCTATGGGCAAAGATTTATGAAGGTCTTTAGACGCCTGTATTGTTTAAAGAATTCTAAGAGACATTGTCTTTTTTAAGGACTATAAGACACCTATTTTTCTTGAAGAATTCTAAGATGTATAGATTTTTTAAGGAATTTAAGTGACCTGGATTTTTAGACATTTTTAGAAGGACATTATCAGACATGGATTTTTTAAGGACTATAAAATTTATAGGGGTTTCCTTTTCCCATATTTCCAGGTGGCTGCCGCCGTCGTTGTTTGAGCATCCTCAAGACTCTGCGTGATCGTCATTTAGAATTGCCCGGCAACCCCATAACCGCATACCACTTGAAGACGTTGCTTCTCTACGAATGTGAAAAACATCCACGTGACTTTGAATGGGATGAACCGTGTATTGCCGATCGTATTAATGGTATATTTCTGCAGTTAATATCCTGTCTGCAATATCGAAGATGTCCCCATTATTTCCTACCTACATTGGATTTGTTTAAGGGTAAATCGCCGAGTGCTTTGGAACAGGCCGCCAAGCAGGTGTGGCGTCTGACAAGGGAAATGCTGACAAATGCCAATGCCTTTGAAAAATTGTAAAGAGAAAAACAAAAACAATAACGACAAGGCTAATAAGGAGAGTCAAAAATATTTGAAAAAAAATAAACAAAAGAATGAATGTGAGAATAATCAGAAGTCTGCTGCTCTAAGCAATATACAAAAAAGCCATGTATAAACAAAAAAATACCATAATTACACTGAGGATAATAAGGATCATCAGTTATTTTTTGGCCATTGAATATTTTTTTATGTTTTTTGTTTAATAAATCATAGATTTTTTAACTTCAATGGCAATGGCCGAAAAAAAAAATAATCTTCAAAATTTCGAAATAAAAAAAAAAATTGTTTTGTATTTTTACAAAAAAACTCCTCTTCACACACACACACAAATCACCACTACCATCCACCAGATTTAATGGTGGTATCCATAATCTAAAGATCATTGATAATATCCACACCAAAAATGAACAAAACTACTCCATATGTGAACACCAAATCTCTTCACTCATACCACACATACGATATTCATTCATACATGAATATGAACATGAAAGTTAAAAACAAATCTTGATTCTCAGAAGGATAATCCCTTGGTAAACAGCATCCCTGCCTACCACCAACTTACCTACCTACTCATCTATGTATGAATCTACAAAAACATAACACCGTCACATTGTTTTCAACTGCAGAGATCAAGATAATTTTTGCACATGATTATACTAGGTCCCCAAACAATTGCTCATTTATAGTCTATAGTCTACACTAGAGAAAAAAAAACAGTTAATCTCCCATAATCCTCTCCATAGAAATATGTACTAATTATTTTGATATTTCAAAAAAAATCACCCAATTGGTTAAGTACTGCTACTTTCAAAAAAAAAAAAAAAAAAAAAAAAATCACCCAATTGGTTAAGTACTGTTACTCTCAAAACAAGAAATATTTTCATATGGTATTCGATATATTTTATACGTAGTTCAAAAAATATATATTTTTTTAAATTTGGATTTTTTATGATTATTTTTAAAAAGAGTTTTAAAAATATTATTCGAATCCCATATGAAAATTCCGTAGAAACTTTCAGTATAAATAATGTAACACATTGTATACGATTAGATTTAATAAAATCCCGTACATGCCCTTAATAATAATAATAACTATATTGATTATTTCATTACCCATTAAATATTTTTTTATTAAATGGAAAGCAAAAAACAAATATTTTGGAAAACAAGTTTTTTAACCATAATAAAATCTTAAGATTTATGTATGTGCAATTTGATAAATTAATATATAATTATTATTTTTTTTTTTTTTTTTTTTTTTTTGTAAAAAACACATCGTTAAATAAAGAAAAATAAAAACATATTTGCATAGCAATTAAGTTTAATAATAATAATATTACAATAACCCTTTTACCCTTTTTCTCTATTGTGAAAATTTCATGTTAATAAAAATCTACCCAATTACTAAATAAAAGAATAAAAATATGTTTTTTGTTTAATATTATATTAATATAAAGTAAAATATGAAGTACATATTTCATCTTGTCGCACAAAGTTCCTACAATACTTCCTTCAATTTCTTTTCGTCTTTCAATTTTTATTTTGTCCGCGTTTAAGTCAAATTTTATGATTGGCTATATCCGTCCACGTTTAGGCACATAACTACATCCCAAAATTTGCAGTATTTTGGATATGCTCTTAACCGATGGAAAATATCGGTAATTTTTTAAGAATAACCCCCACGGGTTTTAATCGAAGTGCTTGTAATTTGATATTCTGGTTTCTCACCAAGTGGAAAATCCAAAAAAAAAAAAAAAAACAGTAAGGAAAGTTGTAAAGTCGGAGTGGGCCGACTATATAATACCCTTCACCACTTTGGGTATATTCTACATATGTATCCTTACAAATGCATGTCAATGTTCCATCGAAGGAACATACTCATGCCTTTCTGCAACCTATGCTAAATTTCATTTAACGGTGTTAGAAAGAGTACATGTCTGGCTCTCGTATGAACTAGGATTATTGACTTCGCTCTAAAATTAACAAAATGGCGGACCTTTGAAAACATATTTTTGGAAAATCGTTGATTTTTGACCAAAAACCAAGTTAAAAAATAAGGAAGATCTTCACCGATTGGCTTTATCCTAGTTCATACGATAGCTACACACTCCCAGAGAAACGTGTCAAAATTTGGAACCGATTGGATTATTAGTTTTTGAGTTATCGTGCCCGCCATTCGCAAAAGAGAAAAACGCGTTTAAAGTTTGAGAAGCCTTTTAGCCGTCACTTGATGCTGACACAATAAATCGGCTATATCATCAAGAGTTCATGAGATTTTCACTTGAAATTTTGTAGGGACATTCTTGAATTAGTGTAGATTCGAATTAAATCAAAAAAAATTTTGTCTCCGAGAATGGGGGGTCCCCTTAATTCGGGCAGATGTAGAGTCGTCTGCGTACCATGGGACAAATTTATTGAAAACGATTGATACACGGTAATCGGTACGTCGCACTGTTAAAAAATTAATCTCAATCAGACACAAGTTCGATATACATATGGATGCTATGGCTGCAACTGCATAAGTTTCAACAAAACGCAATAACGTCATTCAAGCCTCAATTTGACGCGTTGTAAAAATTTTGGAGTTAATTGGACAAATATCAAGAGTTTGGTGCACCATTTATGTAAAATTGGACGAATATATATGTATATGTTGGAGCTATATCAAAATTTGAACCGATTTTCAGGAAACTTAACACACATCATTCTAGACTCAATTCAGTATGCTATACCAAATTCCGTGCAAATCGAAGGATATATAGGGACTTTGGTGCACAATTTACATAAAATCGATCGAAAATATATATGGGAGCTATATCTAAATTTAAACCGATTTTCCCGAAACTTACCACTCATCATTCTAGACTCAATTCAGTACGCTATTCCAAATTTCGTGCAAATCGAAGGATATATATGGACTTTCGTGCACCATTTATATAAAATCAAACGAAAATATATATGGGAGCTATATCGAAATCTGAACCGATTATCCCGAAACTTAGCACACATAATTCTAAGCTCAATTCAGAACGCTATGTCAAATTTCGTGCAAATCGAAAGATATTTAGGGACTTTGGTTCACTATTTACCTTAAATCGGAAGAGATTTAAGGTAAATAAATAAATCCATGTTTAATCCATGTTAAGTCACTATTTTTTCCAAAAAATTTAAACATTTCACCAATATCACAGCTATTTTCCTACTGATTTAGCTCATTTTTACTCTCTCTCTCTCTCGCCTCTCCCCTTACTTGATGTTTTTTGCAACCTTTCATTTAACTACCGTTTTCGATGGCGACTAGTTTTCCATTCCATTGCACTATAGGTCAAATGACCACTTTTTCTCTGCAAAATTAATAGCGGCAACAAAATCATAGTATTCGTCATGTAATTTGGCCTAACTTTTTTTTTGTGTTACTTGAATCGTTTTTGTTGAATTTGGAAGAAATCGGTTCAGATTTGGATATAGCTCCCATATATATTTTCGTCCAATTTTATGTAAATAGAGCACCATACTGGCAATAATGGTCCGATTGAGGCAACATTTTACACAGAGTATAGAATTATGTCCAGATTGATGTATGCGAAGTTTATTTGGAATCGGTTCTGATTTAGATATAACTCCCATATGTAGTGTCGTCCGATTTTTTGTAAATTGTGCACCAAACTGAAAATGTTTGCCCGATTGGGACAAAATGTTGCACAGCGTACGGAATTTAGTCGAGTTTGACATCTGTGAAGCTTTGTTGAAATCGGTCCTGTTTTTTTATATAGCACACATATATAGTTTCGTCCGATTTTATGTAAATTGTGTACCAAACTCCCCAAACTCCGATTTAAACTAAATTTTGCACAGCGTACTGAATTCAGTCCAGTTTGGCATCTATGAAATTTTTCTTTGAAATCGGTCCATATGGAGATTTTAGGTATATTTCAATATTTATGCGATTGGCATGCAATTTTCTTATAGATTTCAGAATGTCGTGTGTATGGTTTTTATTGGCTGAAATATCTATGTAGATCGTATTTGTTTTTTACCCGATTCCATGTTAATGGTTATCCAAAGATGATATGTCTATCAACAGGATATTGTTATCATTTTTTGTTTGTACCCAAAGTGGTAAAGGGTATCTTATAGTCGGCCCAGTCTGACTTTTGATCTTTCCTTGCTGGTTGTCTTTGAAAATATTCATCTTTCTGTGACATTTTTTCAAATTTTGCGCTAATTTTAAGTAAAATAAATGTACTATTTGCTTTACAAATTTCTCTCTTTGATCCGAAATGCTGTCGGCATCAATTTTGCTCACTACATGTTTGAAAACAGCAACAGGTTTTTTGTTTTTGTTACCTTCTTTTCGCCATATTTCAAAAAGTTCGATTTTTTATACGGAGTTTGCCTAGATAAAAGAGGCATTAATCGCACAATCGAAATAATGCGCACTCAAAGTTGACTAAGTCCCACAGAAATATAAGCATATTTATAGAATAAATTGTATTGAGCGACTTGCACTCTCTATTTTGGAGTGTTCTAAATACAAAACCACCAACAACTCGTGAAGAACGGCACTTTGATTTTTTTCAATTTTGCACAGAAAAACCGGTCATTTGACCTATAGTGCATTGTTTCTATGGTTCAACACTCTTAGCAGCATCTGCATCGATCTTACAAAATTCGCATATGTATTTTCCAAATTATTTCGCAAAACAAAGAAGAAACGAGGCAAAACATAACGAAGAAGAAGAAAACATAAAATCAAAATAGAAAAATTAAAACGATAAAGAATTTCTTTGTCATAGGATCCCGTCACCACCACCTTAAAACATGCATACTCCATAGTATTTAAAGTTGTATGTATTGCATTCATAAAATCCAGAAATCCCGACATTATCAACACTTTCTGAACACTATTCATATAATATACGAAACATAATTTTTCTGTGTATGATTTGTATATGTATAGGGAATTTTACACATGT